GGGGGGGGGGGGGGGGGTTCCGCAGGGTGTGGAGGAGCGGGAGGAGTGATTGTGATCGGGCTTGCCGTAGAGTGTATGCGGGCCGACCAAAAGCATACTTCTCGCATCCCTGCTCAGCCGGGTGCGGACAAGAGGGCGTGGTAGTTCCTGTTTGCCGTTGTTGCCATCGTCTTGGGGAGGGCGTTTGAATCTCTCTCTCTCTCTCTCTCTCTCTCTCTCTCTCTCTCTCTCTCTCTCTCTCTCTCGATGTCCAACCTTCGCTCCACCGCAACGTTGTTCGGAGACGTCCGTTGACTCTGTTTGACAACTGTTTGGCATTTCTTGCGTGGTACCCATATTTAGCTTTGTGTACCTCACGACTGATGTTCCCTCTTTCCACGGACGGTGGTGTGGTGTCTTTGTCTGTGTGCGACGCGTTGGACCCGGCGCGATTCACAGGGCGTGTGGGGACCGCACCTGATCGTGGTGCCGACGTCTTGTATCGTCAACTGGGAGACGGAGCTGAAGCGATTCCTTCCGGGCTTCAAGGTGCGGCGTTGACGAAGACGAACAGGACAAGTTATTATATGTAGCGGAAAAAATGAAAAAGTGGCACACTTTTTGAGGGATTTGTGTTGATACCTTACGTATGCGTGCAATATGCGTGTGCAAGTGAGTGCGTGGAAGCGATCGAAAGGAAGGAAGGGAGAGGCGAGGATGGTTGCCTCGGACTTGACGTCCGTCTGTCGCTTTTCTCTCTTTCTCCCTTTCTCTCTTTCTCTCTTTCTCTCTTTGCTCTGTCCTCACACGCTTCTGGAGAAGAGCTATACAAGTGTAGCAGTATTGGTGTGTTGGACAGCAAGAAGGTCTTACAAATAAAATAGCCAACCGGAGCCTCAACCGAAGCACTGAATCGCGTCTAGTCTAGTTATGTGGAGCGTGCCTCCACTTAGTACAGGACCTGACCGTAAGGCTGGCACTCAGTCAAAATCCTCCACTTAACACCTGCCATGTATTTTTTTAATGTATTTTTTTAATGTGTTTTTTTAATGTGTTTTTTTAATGTATTTTTTTAATGTATTTTTTTAATGTATTTTTTCAATGTATTTTTTTCATGTATTTTTTTAATGTATTTTTTTTAATGTATTTTTTTAATGTATTTTTTTAATAGCCACTGCTGGGCTACCCCCCAAAGAACACACGAAACGGGCCGCGGGCGTTAGGAACACATGTCAAAATTCAGGTTCTAATCACGTTGATTTGCTTGACTTGGGGGGGGAACTATTTGTATTTGTTTATTTCTCAGGTGGTGGTGCGTGTAATCTAGCATGGAGCCTGATAGTTGTTTGGACTTGACACGTTTCATTGATGTGCTAAACACGCTCCCCGCCCGGTCCTCCATGCAGGTGCTGACGTACTACGGCAACGCGAAGCAGCGCAAGGAGCTCCGGACGGGGTGGACCAAGCTCAACGCGTTCCACGTTTGCATCACCTCCTACCAGCTAGCCGTGCAGGACGCCTCGAGCTTCAAGAGGAAAAAGGTGCACTGGTGCACCATGTGTCCTCCGAGAGGCCTCTTCGGCTTGCTGTTGTTGTGTGTTATGTGTGATGCCGTCGATACTACCGTTGTTTTGATGGTTTTCTTGACTGCTGTCAATTGTTTGGTTTGTTGTTGCTGTGTACTGTGGTTGCCGTTGCTGCTACTGATACTGCTGTTGCTGTTGCTGTTTTTGTTTTGTGTCCCGTTATTGAGATTCGGTTCCTCGAAGGCATATCAGCAATCCCGCTAGCCTTGCGATCTTCTGCTCTGTATCGCCTTCACCAATGTCACCGTTGTTTCTGTTTCTCCTCGAGCCCCCCAAGTGGCCGTTTTATGCTATTTTATTATTCGCTCTCTTATGCTCTGTGATGCCTGAACAAAAGCACCGTTGTGTCTGTGTCTCCTTGACACCCCCGCCGACAGTGGTACCACCTCATCCTCGACGAGGCACAGAACATCAAGAACTTCAAGAGCCAGCGCTGGCAGACGCTGCTGACGTTCAACTCTCAGCGGAGGCTTCTCCTCACGGGGACCCCGCTGCAGAACAGCCTCATGGAGCTTTGGTCGCTCATGCACTTCCTCATGCCGCACGTCTTTCGAAGGTAGGTGGGGGGCGAAGCTTAGAAAAGGCGCTTTTTCTCGTAAGCATTAATGCGCTCATGAGAGCACAGAAGCGGTGGTGCTCGATGAAATAAGAGCAGGCAGCAGAAACTACAGTTGGCTGCCGGCTGACGTGTTGGTTTTGACTCGAAGAGCGCGACGAACTTCAACGCCAAAAAAAATGAAAACCAATCAGTCTCATCTTGTTCCTTGCGGCGGATAGGTTCGGCGTCTGTGGACACCGGGCGGGTGTCATGTTTTTGTATTGTTTTTTCACTTTGGGGAGTGTTTTTGCATCAGTTTGTGTCCTCAGGATGGCAACGAACGGCCTCGTGCATGACCTGGAGTATCAGTACCATACAACATCGGACTACCGAAGGGGAGTGGAGAAGGCAGGTCGTATCACCTCAGGGGAAGTAGAGCGGTTTGCAGGGCCGTTCGCTCGGAGAAGGGCTGTGAAGGGCGACTCTCTTCGCGACAAAGAAGGATAGCCTCACTGAGACCGGCGTATTTTCATTGGTCAGCGTTAACGCCGTCGATGCCAATGCTGATGAAAGACAACACCAACACAGATTGGAGCGATGGACAGCAGCAATGACTCCGACGGTGGTATCTGCATATGTAGAGAGCGTTCCGATCAACCAACACAAGAGCGAGTAGTACCAGCACATCGTCATATTTATCATTGCCCTCGAACACCTACGGCGGCAACAAGCAACACCGCCCCCGTTGACTTGGCGGCCTGGTAACGAGGGCCTACATCGCGCCGCTCCTCCCTCACACCGCCCCCCCCACTCCCCTATCTATTTCCCTTCTCTGTGAACCCTCACGTATGCACGTCACGTCGGCGCCCGCGGGCCGCAACGGTGGTGATTCGTCGATCGTCGGCCGGTGTTCCTTCTTCTTTTGTCGCAGCCGGAAAGAGTTCAGCTACTGGTTCTCCCAGCCGCTGTCGCACATGGTGGAAGGGTCGAGGGAGCGCAACGACGACCTGATCCGGAGGCTGCACTCGGTCGTCAGACCGTTCCTGCTCCGGCGGTTAAAGAAGGTGATTCGCTGAGATGTCTGTCTGTCTGTTTGCCCGTCTGCCTTGCTGTCTGCCTGTGTTTGTCTCTGTCTCTTGTCTCTTATCTCTCTAGTCTATCTGTCGACCCTGCGTATCTGTCTGCTTGCCTCTCTCTCTCTCTCTCTCTCTCTCTCTCTCTCTCTCTCTCTCTCTCTCTCTCTCTCTCTCTCTCTCTCTCTCTCTCTCTCTCTGTCTCCGTGTCTCTCGTTCTCTCTGTATCTCTGTCTCCCCCCCCTCTCTCGCTCCCGTGCTGCGGTGAAGGGCACGGCGTGTTTTGAGTTGTGATGCGATTGCGTTTTGGCCGGTACTCTGGTGAATGTGAATCTCGGTGGCGGTGATGGGATGGTTGCCACCGTTAAGCATGGCGCCATATGGCATACACCCATCTCCCCGCTGTCGCTGGGTGGATGATGTTTCGCTCCCCAACTCTCTCAACGCCGGCTGCTTTCCCGTACCCCGACGCGTCCGTTGCGTTGCTGCACGACCGACGTTATCCCATGGACACCCGCAGGACGTCGAGAAGCAGCTGCCGGGCAAGCACGAGCACGTGGTGATGTGTCGGCTAAGCCGTAGGCAGGCGTCGCTGTACGAGGAGTTCATGGCGAGGTCTTCCACCCGCGCCGCCCTCCAGGGGGGAAACTTCATGGGGATGATGAATATCCTCATGCAGCTCAGAAAGGTGAGGCCGATCAGCCGGTCGGCGACACACGGAACCCCCCCCCACGCACACCTTGGTATGGAATCTATATGTCTTGTGGAACGTGGCCGCTGTTCTCGTCGTCGTGGGTGTAGGGTCGGGTTGCTGGCGCATGTGCTGTGTTGCGCGCGAGGGTGGTCGGCCATCATCCTCGATAGGCAACGCCCGCCGCCACCGCCGCCGCCGCCGACGGTTTGAACGTATGATAGCCATGTCACCCTCTGTTGTTTGGTTAATTCTTCTGATGTGAGGTCACATGAATTTGAGTCAATCGTTGCCCGAAGCTGCGGCGTCTTTTTGAAAGCACGCCCGTCCGCTGCACTACCTACACCCTCCGAACACAAACGTGTCCAACAACCCGGTCGATTTCCGAGGTTGTTCGAAAGCTTCTTCTTCCTTGGTTCCTCGTACTATATTCTTCAACAACCCCTTACAGCCCCCCTCTGCTCGATGAACACTTGTGCTGCTGTATGTATCGGAACACAGGTGTGCAACCACCCCGATCTCTTCGAGGCGCGGCAGATCGACAGCCCCTTCGTCCTGCCGCCGCTGGACCTGGGCGTCGGCACCCGAGTCTTGCGAAGCCGCTCGTCATCGTCGTCGTCGTGGATGCCCCCTTGCGGGTTTCCCACGAGGTTCGGAGGCGTTCTGTTCGAGGGCACGGCAACGGCGGCAACGGCGGCGGCGGCGGCAACCGGGGATGGTGCGGCGACGGCGGACGGGAAGTTGGGTTCGGGGGAGGACGGGAGCGGGGAGAAGGCCGGGGCGGGGGTGGGATCGAGGAGGAGCCCGGACGGGGGTGTTTCTAGGAGTCTCATCGCCCCGCTATGGGCGCACGATCTGCGAGGTGCCTCACTCTGCCGTTTTGGTTGTTGGTTGTTGTTGCTGCTATTACTGCCCGGCTACTGTTTCTGTTGTTGTTGTGGCTCGAGCCGCAGCGGTTCCGTTGTTGTTTCTGTTCATATTTGTTGGTCATGTGTTTGTGATGTTACTGTTGTTGTTGACTCTGTTTCTGTAGCCGTTTCTGTTTTCTGTTCGTTGTGATGCTGTTGACGTTGGTTTTGTCATGTCGACCCGCTAGTTTCGTGGTACTTCCCCTTTTACATCCTGTGAGGCTCGTTGGCTTGAGAAAGCTTTGTCGCGCGTTTTGTGCTTGTCCTTATCCTTATCCTTATCCTTATCCTCCGGACCGCCGTACGGATGAAGACGGATGGGTATTTTCAGCTCAAGTTCTCGCTCCCTTTGTCACTTTTTTCTTTTTCTTTTCTGCCCACCCGCCGGCGGCAGACGGCCTGCCGGGGCTAGACGTGCTGTCGACGGAGCTGCTGTCGAGGAGAGCCACCCCGGCCGAGGACGTGCTGAAGATGCCCAGCAAGCTTCCTCTTTGCATTCCAGACCCGACGCAGGTGTGTGGGCGGCGGACGAGCGACCAACTCTTGGTAAATCTGTGCCTTCGAAACCGAAAAATAGTCTGTGAAGAGACCCCGTTCGAAGAGAAGGGGGGAGGATGAAAGAGGGAAGGGAAGTAGAATAGGTATCGTGTTCTTTCGTGTACGAAGAGCATGGTGAATGGTGGTGGTGGGGGGGAGGATGGACGCAGCGAATCTTGCGGTTGGTTAGGCCTTGACGTGCGACGCTATCCGATTCATTCGGTGCGCTTCAATCGCTGACCTGACCTGCTCACCCCTTGCTGCTGCTGGTGCTGGTGCTGTACGATACCGCCGCTTTGCTGTTGCTCCTGCATGGGTCGCGCGAACAAAGGTGGACAAGAGCTTGAATCTCATGCCCCAGGTGCTCTACAGGCTCACGAGATTGCGCAAGACCCTGAGGTATGACAAAAGAAAAAACACAACGGCGCAAGGATGATGACAGTCTCCGTATCTCGACGGAGCAGAAGGGGCGGAATTGTGCAGAGATTGCGGGGAGGGTTGCTCATTTGCCGGTTCTGTGGGAGCTGGAACGCTTTTTGGCCATGTTGGACAGAAGAGCTGGGCAGGGTTGTGTGGGACGGGGGCTGGGGTGATTGCTGGCTCAGTCGAGCGAGAGGCTGCGACCGACAGCAAGTGCTTGCTCGTGCATGGCGGCTACGCGTTGTGCCCGTTCGATGTGGGCATCCATCAGTTGTCCGCTTTTGATGTGCACGTCCGGCAGCTGTTCGCTGTTTGAATGAATGTAACGTGTACCTGGTACCGTTGTTTGCGGCTGCTGATACCCGCAGCGGCGGCAGGGAGGGCACCCCGCGATAACAAAAGGCGTCTGTTGTAGGGCTCCAGCATTCGAAAACCGCACCGTCCCATGTTTAGCACGTCGTGAGTTTGCCCCCCCTTTCTTGGCTGGCACCCTCTCCTGCCATCGTTGCTTTGTACGCCTACCCCAGTTTTGTTCGGCTCATCCTCCTCCTCCTCTCGTCTGTAACCCTCTGTTTGTGCTCTGTACCTTGTGTCTTGTTCCATTTTTGCGGAATGGTGATTGGAAGGGGACAAGCGAGAGAGCGGCGGAGACTGATGGCGGCGATAAGCCTCAACCGCTGCGGGCTCTTGCCGGGAGGAGGCGGGGGTGGGGCGGGGATGGAAGAGGCCCATCCCCTGAACTGGCGGCTCGTGAGAACAGCCAGGCTCCTCTACGGACACCCGACTCTCGAGGTTGGTTGGGGGGCGGCCTGTTGGCGGCTCGTGTGGAAGGCAGCAACCAGCGTCTGCAAGATTATCTTGCGGCAGCAGGCTGAAACACACTTTTCACCACCCCTGGTTGTTGACGATTTTGACCATCGGTGATACATCCTGTGGGAACACTACTCCGTCCTCTCGAGGACGCGGTGGTCAATGGTCTAATTGCTACGGCATGCAACACATGAGGACCCCCCCTCCCCCCCCGCCTTTTGTTGTTGGCTTTACTGCTGTACAGTTCTGAACAGACTAGACCAGCTGGCCTTTAAACGGTGCTCTTCCCACAACGGCTGCGGACACAAACGATTCTTGGCCCCACTTGCTTTGTTGAAATGGTTTTGTTCTGTTTTTTGTCCAATTTTTTTTTTATTTAGTATCATCACTGCTCTTCGATCAGTTGTTTTTTTGTTGTGCGGCATTCACTCACTTTTCACGTAACGAAGGCTAACTTGCTGCTGTTTGTTGACCAAGCTTACAGTAGTCCGAAACGTGTACTAAAATAAAACCCCATCTTGAAAACTCTTTTTTGTATTTTTTTTTTGTTCTGGTTTTCCGTTGGACTCGTCGCGTATTGGTATCGCACGGGGTTTCCTGCTCTGAAGACGAGCATACCGTGCCGGGGGCCTCACAGAAGATGTTATACCTTTTTTGTCGGTGCATGCCTGCAGAATTCCCGCGCGCGAGAGAGAGAGAGAAAGGGGTTCTGCATCCTCCTTCCCTCCCTCACCAACAACTGCCGGTGGTGAAAACAATCCCCTCCGTACTGCCATCCAGCCACGACATTCCCCCGATCGACACGCCCTCTACCTTCTTTGAAGAGGTTTCTCTACCCACACTGCTGTGTCGTTTCAGGAGGACCGAAATACTTTTTCCTTTTTCTTTTTCTTTTTTGTCGCTTTTACCCCAGGCGGCGCAGGCGGCGAGGGAAGGGGATGCGCGCGTGCGGTTCTGGTGCCCGCTGGCCATGATGGGTTCGGTCAAGGGGCTGCGGGAGCGGTGCGAAGAGATGCACACGTTGGTGGAGAGGTTTTGTTTCCTGGTGCCGAAGGTCATGGCATGGGCGCCCAACGTGAGAAGGCGACAAGAACTAGACTGCCGTGGGGGGTCTGTTTTTGAGTAAGAAAAGGCCGAGTTGAAAGCCTGAGGTTCGACACGTGGGGACCCCTAGCGGGTGTAGTTTCGTGGTGAGATTTTCCTGCATTCGACTTGTTGTTGTTGTTGTTGGTGGTGGCATAACGGTTATATCTGTTGATGCTGTTATTGTCCCGCAATGAAGGAGGAGCGAGTACAAATGCGGCAGGTGATGAGGTTGTTGGGGACTGTGTAGGTCTGACGATGCATGAAGTATGCCACTCGAACACAAGTGGTTGGACGCCTTGGCTTGGTGGACAGGGCGGCTTAGATGAGACGTTGGGAACGAGTCGGCACTTGTAACCCTAGATAATTACCATGACCATTGGTTGGAGTATCTAACGGGTTGTTGCTGTGATGATGTGTCACGCGTGGACGTGTCGCGTGCGACGCATTTGCAGGTGGTTGGGACGCCGGACTTGGCGTCCAGTTTGGCGTTCGCGACGGGGAGGGAGCGGCTGAGAAGAGAGGTAGTGCGGAGAGGCGGCCTGTCCCTCATCTATCCGGCACAGGTGAAAGGAAGGACAAAACTACTGCTGTACGCCAAGAAGATGTACAAGTACCACATAAATGGTACTTCGAAGTATATATTTGTACTTGTTTTGTTTTTTTGGCGAGAAGAACGGTCGGGAAAACAGTAGTGTTGCCCCCGGCCGCCCTTGACAAGGCCCGTGTAATCGCGGGGCACCCACAGATGGGAAAGCCAAGTGTAGACCAAGGGCAAACCGGGCCGCCACTCCTCCAACCCAGGTGGCACACACACGTCACGCGGTGGACGTGGATCCTGCGGGAAAACGGTGACCCGACGCGTGGTTGCGTCTGGAGCCGGGTCCGTCTGTTGTCGGGAACTGACTGAAGCCCAGTTGCGTCTGTGATGTTTGCCGCCTGATCCACGTCCACCGCGTGACGTGGGTGTGCCACTTGGGCATGAGGAGTGGCACCTCGGTCTTTGCCCTTGTGGTAGGATACTTCTCACACGCTCAAATGCGGGGGGTGTCCGGTATGACGCCGTCCAAAATCCGTTGGCACTATCAATGATGGCCTTGGTATGTACGGGGGCCACTACTGCTGTTGTACCTGGGTCCCGTACATGTACCCTTCCTGATGCTCACGTTTTTTTGTTCGTTCCTCCTTCTCATGTTCGTTTGGTGCGGATTTTTTGTTCTTTTTTCTTGTTTGTGGTCTCGTGGTCCGAAGATCCGCCAGCGTATCTGCTTCCCGGATAGGCGGCTTGTCCAGTACGATGCCGGAAAGCTGCAGGTTCTGGCGGGACTCCTGAGGAGCAGAAAGCAGGGGGGTCACAAGTGCCTCATCTTCACTCAGGCGAGTTTTCGCCGGGGGGGGAGGATTGGCGGGTTTTATTGGTGGGGGTGACAGGCTTTGGGATTGAAAACCACCATGTCTAAAAGCTTCCGCATGACACACAGCGGCAGTGGGAGTGTTTACGAAGGCGTGTTTACTGCTGGTGGCGGTGGTGTTTTTTCCTCTTGTTGCGGAAGCAGGCTGATGGCAGCAGCAGCAGCAGCAGCATCAGCGCCAGGAGGGAGGCCGGCCGTCTAACCTACCCTCTCTCTGTGGTTTGCTCTTCCTCAACTGAGTGCTCGTGTCTAATTGTCGTGGTGTTTTTTTATTTTGTGGAACAGATGTCGAGGATGCTGGACGTCTTGGAGGAGTTCCTCACCCTGCACGGGCACACCTACGTCAGACTGGACGGCAGCACCGGGGTCGAGAAGCGGCAGCGGCTCATGGACAGGTACGTGGCGACTGACACTTTAAATAGAATCTCTCTTGGCTCGCTGTTAGGAGGCGGTGTGTGTGTCTGGGCTTGCGAATCGCTGGTCATGACGCGCAACAGCAGCGCCAACGCGTCTCGTGTCAACAAATGATTTGGATGGTGGAAAATATCTACCTGCATCTCTACCCTGCTGTCGTGCTCGTCATCGAGAAAGTGGAGCTTCTCCTTTCTTTCCTCGGCTGAGAAATGTCTCCCTTCTCTCAAGAGAGAAGGGTGTCGTCGCCGACGCCGTGTTTTGTTGCCTCCCAACGTGAATTCCCTCGAATGATGCGCCGCCATCCGTATCACAGGCTTTCCTCTCCAAAGTCCGACAGAAATATCACGTATATACTCCCACTTGATGTTGGTTTACTCAGCTTGTCTTTCGTCCCCGCCCCCCGCCCCCCCCCCCCGCGCGCGCTGTTTGGTGCACAACGATCCTTTCTTTCTTTCCCGGCCGCGGGAACCCCAGGTTTAACCTGGACCCGAAGTTGTTCTGCTTCATCCTCTCGACGCGGTCGGGCGGCCTCGGCATTAACCTGACGGGGGCGGACACGGTCATATTCTACGACTCGGACTGGAACCCGGCCATGGATGCACAGGCTCAGGTGGGATAATTTTTTTGTCTGTAGACGACGAAGAAAATACGTCATGCGTGTTTTCTCTTTTTTTGTCCTGGCTCGAACCAAGCGCGACCCTTTGCTGGGAAAATGTGTGCCGCCGAGGGGAGTTAGTTTGCTCTGGGGTGCGGTGGTTGGTAGTCCTGGCGTTCGTTATTTCCGTGATCCGGGCTGTCTTGCCATCTTGTTTCGAAAAAGTTGGTGGTGTGCTACAGCAGTAGGCTTGGTGCTGTTTTGGTGCGAAATAAGCAAGCGTAGCCTGGGGGATTTGAAACAGGCTCACGTAGATTTCGCGACTGCACCCTGAAGGGATCCCCCAGACACAAGCAGTAGACGGGAGGTATTATGTTTGGTCCGCACACACCGCGCCGGCGTCGACGTGAGTATTGTACATGAGAGTGTTTGATGCAGCAACGTATTTTACTTGAATTTTTTTGCCCATGGCTTTCGCGCCTGTCTGTCTGTCTCTGTCTCTCTCTCTGTCTCTCTCTGTCTCTCTGTCTCTCTGTCTCTCTCTGCCCTCCGCCTTCCCACACGTGCAACAACAACATCTGCCAATTACTGCACGAATCTACTATGTTATGCTAGGACCGGGCCCACCGCATCGGTCAGACGAGAGAGGTACACATCTACCGCCTCGTCACGTCGAGCTCCATCGAGGAGAACATCCTCAAGAAGGCGCAGCAGAAGCGACACCTCGACTTCCTGGGTGAGAGCCGCTTACCCCCACCCTCGCAAGCACCACCGGGCTAGTAGAACAGCTAGCCAGCTAGACAGTAGTCCCGCACGACCTAAATTAGAGTACACAACTGTCAACCGTATTGACCTACTGCCACAGGGCTGACTTTTTTCTTATGCTCTATGACCGCGAAGGTAGGGTAGGGCATTGATTGCTGGCTTTCTTATCTCGAAGAAAACGTGCGACTGACCCCCTAAAAAGACCAACACCGTTGAGCAACCCGTCCGTGTTCCACCGCGTTAAGCGTCGTCGCTTTCTCTGCGCGCGTTGTGTCGAGCCTCATGACCTCTTGTGCCGCGGTACCGACATAGCGAAGTACCGTTTATCTCTCTCTTCTTCCCCCGCAAGCGCAAGGATAGTGACCATTCCGGTTCATCCTTGCAGAACGTAGCCTGGGCCGGCGAAACCCCGGCATACCGCTCCGTTCCGGCATCGTAGGGGTGCGAGGTCTATGGTCTACCGAGTACCGCGTGCGTTCACACGAGCACTCAATCCCCGCCGCCGCCACCACCACCACCACCCTTTTTTTTTTTTTTTCTCTTTTGCTTTTCGTTATAGTTATGACGGCGGGCAATTTCAGCGGCGGCGGAGAGGGCCAGGAGAACCCGATGGACTATATGAGCGCCGGCGGCCTCAAGGATATCCTCGGGGGAAACACGCTCGACGCCGACGCGGCCGCTGCAGGTGCCGGTGCCGGTAGCAGCGGCGGCAATGGCGGGGAAGGGACGGCAGGCGGAGCAGGAGGCGGCGGGGGTAAGGCTGGAGGTGGTTCAGAGGGGGGCGGCGGGAAGGACGGTGGTAAGCAAGGTGGGTGTGCCACGCGGTATCGCTCTCGCCTAGCTCGCGGGGTTGGGTGCGAGAGTTGTGCTGTAACGGCGAAGGCACTGGTTTTGGAGGGGGCATCGAGAAATATGGAGACAATCATGGTGGGAAAGCCATCCATCGGTTTGAAGTGCGTGTCGACACAGCTGTGCGCGGAAGGATGTTTTGTTGGGAGGGCTGGTGCGTGAGTCAGAGTGCGAGGAAAGAAAGGACTTGGGGAGAGTCCCAAAGGGATTGTCATGTATTGTACTCTTTGCTGCGATCTTCGGGCAAGAGAGGTGGCCTTATCCCAGACGAAGGTCCCTCGTTAGCACGACCTAGTCGGCGCTATAATCAGAAACACGGAACACTCCGAGCACCCGCGTTTTTTCACGTTAAGAAGTGTTGTACCTCCGTCCATCCGTACGTGAAAATATGCTCTTCGAGGGTGGCAGAATGGTGACTAGCCCGGACCGTAAGACAAAACCGTTTGTACGTCAGCCGAGCTTGCAATCAATTGACTGCTGTCCTACATTTACCGCACGCCAAAACTGCAGCAGCAGCAGCAGCAGCGGCAGCAGCAGCAGCAGCGCCGCCGGCGATGTCGGAGAAGGAGCTAAGGGCCGCGATGGCTAGCCTGGAGGATGCAGACGACGTGGAGGCAGGCAGGGCGTTGGAGAAGGAGGCCGCTGACGAGCAGCTCGAGTTCGACGAGAACGGTGCTTCGAGCAAGGTCAGCACGGGGGCAAAAGGGGTCGGCTCTGTGTGTTTCAGAACAGGGGAGGGGTAGCTAAAAAATTACCGACTCCCTTTCTACGGACACGGTGTTGTTTCGTCGTGTGCATACCTAGCAGATGCCAAAAGTTACGCAGGAGCCCCCCCCCCCCCTCGCTGCCCGCACGGTATCCCGCGGCAGTCATTGTGTGAAGCCTGAGAACCCAGTACACAACAGGCGAGGAGGCCGTTTTTGAATACGGCCGCCGTTGACGCCCGACAGTTTCCTTCCTATTCCCCGCTTCCACACGCCGCACTCCCTCCCCGAGATCCACGTGCTCGTTGACACCACGAGCATGCCCTGCTCTCCACGTAGGCGTAACAATCCTTCCCCTGTTCGCCGTATCACACATGTATGTGTCTGTTCCTGTCCGCCCCCCCCCCCCGCTTTGGTTCAGGACGAGGAGAAGGAGGACGACAACGACGGCGACAACGATGACGCCACGGCTGCGGCGGCGGCGGCCGACGGCGGTAGCGGCAAGGGAACGGCCAACGGCGGCGACGGGGGGTTCGGGGACGACAAGGAGAAGACGGACAAGGAGCTGGAGGAGGAGTTCGCCGCATGGCAGGCATGTTGTCGTCTTTCGCCTGCGACTAATCGTTTGGTGGTTGCGTGAGTCGTGGCGCTCTTTGAGATCTCCGCAGCAGTTGTACGATAGCCTCTTTTTGGAGTGGAGGAAAAGAAAACCCGCACCTCTTCTCCCCTCTCTCGCATATTTTTTTCTCTCTCATCCAGAACAAGGTAGGGCCCGACGTGTCGGCGCTGGAGTCTTCCCTGGCCCCCATCGAGCGCTACGCTCTGCGCGTACGAACGGACGTGGACCCCTACTACAGCCTCTACTTCCGGACGGAGGCGCAGCGGCGGGAGGAGATCGAGGCCGCTGGGGGAGACCTTGACGTGGACGCTATCGAAGGTGCAGGGTTAAGGTTGTTGTTGTGTTGTTGTTATTGTTCATGTTGCGGTTTGTCGGCGTCGATTTTTTTCGGATCAGCATGCATCGATACATTGTTTTGATGGCTCTGAAGACGTCTGTGTCTCTGCTGCCGTACCCCGCAGCGGAGAAGGAAATGGAGGAGCGGCGGCAGATGGAGTCCGGAGAGCTCCTGGCTTGCCACGTGCGGATCAAGGACGTGAGTCGCACCCCGACGCAGCAGGGGCACAAACACGAAACACGAAGTGCAGAAGTACGAAGGCCGCCTAATACCCCCCCCCCGCAGCCAACGTTAAGAAGAGTGCCGTCGTGGTATTCAACGAGGACAGGGAGGAACCAGTAGAGCATACTGGTAGATGGAAGTGGGGGATCGAGGAGGTTGCAGAGTGGACCAGTACACATACCTCGGAGTAGAGATCGCAAAAGACTGCTCGTGGAATGCACACATGTCCAAGGTAGCGGAAAAGGGCAAAGCACGAGCAGGGAAGCTGCACCCAATACTCGCAAACCGGCACCTCGATACACGCATCAAATTGATGGTTTTGAAGAGCGTAATCGTACCGCCGCTAGAGTACGCCGGAGAAGTATGGGAAGGAAATAACAAGGTAGTGAAAGAACTCGAGGCGGCGCAGATGAAAGCAGCGAGAATCATCCTAGGATGCTCCAAGCACACAAGTAATGCAGCCGCCAGGGCAGAGTTGGGGATCCAATCCCTACGGTCGGGAAGAGACGCAAGGAAGCTGACATGGCAGTATCGCATGTGCGGGATGGGAGAGCCGAGAATAGTATGGGAGGCGAAGTCGGCAAACAAAAAGAGGGGTAGACATCCGACGGAATGGGTCAAGGTTGTAGAGGACGTATGGAAGGGGTTAGGCATCGACGAAGATGAAACGCTGGAAACGGAGGGTCTACAGGGGTTCAAGGAGAAGATATCTGTTGCTTGTGCCGAGAGAGAAGGACATAATCTAAGGAAAGAAACCGAGGATAAGGAGGGTCTAGAAGTGTACGGAATGTTGAAAGAAGGAATAGGGTTCAAGGATTACCTACATGGACCAATGGATGCAGGGACAAAGCTTAAGGTCGAATTCAGGACCGGGGACATAGGCCTTCGAGAACGTCGACGAAGGCATAGGACGGTAGACGACGAAGACGACAAGTTCAAATGTGATTGCGGCTTCGAATGCGAAGACCGTGTTCATGTAGTCGCGGAATGTCAGTTGTACGAAGAGGAGAGGGAAGTGTACATGGCTGAGCTGGGAAAAATACAAGGGAGGTACAGGGAGATGTTTGAGGCATGGGATAGAGAGGAGAGGACGGTAGCTGTACTGGGGAGTAGGAAGTGGTTTGAAAAGGCGGGAACGGATATCTTTAGGATAGAAAAACTAAGGACGACATTTTTGAGCCACCTTTGGCAAAGTAGGAAGGAACGATTGGCCATGGTGATGGGTCCTGTGGGAACAATGCTCCGTCCTCTCGAGGACGCGTGGTCAATGGTCTAACCGCTAAGGCATGCAAAACATAAGACTACGCCCCCCCCCCCCCCAGTGGAATGGCGACGTTCCTTGGCCCTGTTGTTTTCCTCTTTGTGTGATTCCTTCTTCTTTGCAGCCCTAGTGCGGTGGCAGCGCGGTCTTCTCTTGACACACACACCCCTCGCCTCCCGATTCTTGGTGCAACTCCTCGCTTCCTTTTTTTTTTTTTTTTTTCCTTGCAGTCGAAGCGGCAGCGCGACATGTTCTCCCGGGAGCGTGCGAGGGCCGTTTCCGAGAGAAAAAAACGCCTCCTGACCGGCGACGCCTGGGAGTTGCGACCAGACGCCGTGTCGAAGATGCCCTTCTGGTACAACAGAGATACAGGTGCGGGCACGATGCGTGCAAGGCTGAGGGTGTTGATGTTGTTGTATCCTTTTCCAGGTGTTACGGTTGCAAATACGCATGTCCTCCTTTTTTTTTTGGTGCGTTGTTTGGGGGGAAGTTTGGTATGCGAAGGTTGCGCTCCATTACATTGTTTGCTGTGTTTGGCTGCGCTAATGTTCGTTTGCTGTGTGTGCGGATGAATGCACGTTGACGCCCCCCCCCCCCCCCACCCCCC